GCGCGCGCGATTCCAGGGTCCTGCAGACCCGCCCCGGCTCCCCGCTCTTTCCCAGCCTCGGGTCCTGAGAGGGCGCCTACACCGATCTCACGATGCCTCCCTCCCGGGGAGGGAAGAGGCAGTCTGGAGAGAATCTTTCATTGGCAAACCAGAATGTCTCATTGCTTCCCTCGGTCTTGCATTCTCCTTTTCATGCTATCTCGATGTCCATTCCTCCCCTCCCCCGTTGCACCCCCATGCGACTGCGGCACCCGCCCTCCAAATGCAGAGACGGTCTTAAAGCTTGGTGAAGCCAACCACACTGCAAAGCCAAGGGAAGTGGGGTTCGACTTGGCAGACATTATTTTAAACAGCAGTTCACACTTGCGACACCGGCAGCCCAGCCCATCAAAGGCAAGAAACAGGTGAGTTGTATGTAAGGGAAACGATGTCTGGATGCAAAACAAATACTGGAAGAAAAAAAATAAGGAGGATGGAGGGGTGGGATGCGGTCTTATGACCACGAAGTACCTGGGGAAGGGTTTTACTTTCCTCTCCACTTTTCGTAATTTTTGTAGGACTGCCCCGTGCCCGCTAGAGGTCACCATAAAGAGCCTTTTGCTCTGGTTCTGGGGTTGATACCTTAAGGAAAACACAGCAGCTTGCAAATTTGAGTTCTGTCTCTTGACAAAGTCACCCTCATTGGTTCTTGGAGAATGAAAATCTCTGTAAGCTGTTTATCCCTAGACTCGGACGATTTGTGTGTGGGGTTTTTTTTAAGCACTTAATGTGATTAAAAGCTCAAAAAAACGAGAGTTGTTTATCTGCTAAGTAGCTACTAAGCAAGGAAAACATCCTGAAGGAAGAGAATTCAATACAGAATGGAAAGGAGGTGTTGGCCGTGAGTTGGCAGAAAGGGCGAAGGATTCCAAGTAGCAGGTTGGCAACTGTAAAAGCTAATGCATTAGCCTGGCTGAAACAACGGGAGTTCCACGACCTGTGTCTGCCCTAGGCTGTCAGCAACAGGACCCCTGATGCTTTAATAACAGAAGGGGTTAGATGAAAGCCTTCCTTCAGGAAGATGCTCTGCCCTGTGGGCTATACTAAGGGAAAGGCCTTTCAGCAAACCAGGAATAGAAACCCCAACCTCATGTCAGTAAAAATGAAGGCCAGATAGGAGAAACCCAGACTGTCTTGGTAAAGGATAGATATATCATAGGACACAGTGATGAAAGAGAACAACAACAACAACAAAAAAGTTAGCAGGTGAGAGCCAGCCACCAGCCTGGCTTCACACCAGTAAGAGCACATTCATCAGGAAGTTGTTAAAAAATACTTCCCCAAAACATCACAAGCAACAGAATAGCTATTGTGTTGGTTACTTGCTTGAACACTACTATTTATTTCCTGTGTTCACTGTTCAAAGTCCCTTTACAGTCTGCTGTTGGAAGCAGTTAGAGAAATATCTCTTTTTAAATTAAATTTGAGCTTAGAAAACAAATTAATTTGGTGACAGTGCAGTTCATGTTTCATAAGTATGTCTTCACGATATTTCTTGGCGAGATAGGTTTAAATCATTTCATTTGTTTCAAGAGTAATATTCTTAGTTGATTGTAATATCATTAGCCACTATGGCAACAGCTATACCCAAATCATTTTCTTAAACAATGTGTACAGAAAGATGCAGAAATAATGGGTTCAGTCTCAGTATAATCTGATTTAAGAAACATTCTTGAAAGCAATCCTGCTTCATTGTACTCCGAGAAGACGGTTAAGCTGAGAATTAGTATACTTGAGTTCTCGTCTGGGTTCTGGATGGTATCTAGGGCCTTCATATATAAATCCCCGGCATGCATTAAAATTCAAAAGCATCAGGCAGGATGGAGGAGTAACAGAGATGTGTGGCAGATGTGGCTGGAACTTGCTGGAGGATCCTCCAGCAACAGAAGCATGACAGAAAGAAGGCTTAAGCCACTCCCATCTCCAGCACCTAGACTGTCACCACAACCTTATACCCATCAATACTATTCTTTCCTGCCTCAGTAATCCCAACCAATGCCACCAGACATTCTGCCCATTTCCCCCAACGCATCCCTAGTTCAAACTCCAAAATGAAACCTGGGAGTGGTGGCATCGAGGTATAGGCAGAAGGATCAGGAGTTCAAAGACAGCCTTGGCTATATGCTGAGTTAGGGTTTGGAGCCACCCTGGACTACAGGAAACCATTCTTTACACACACACACACACACACACACACACACACACACACACACTCCAAAACCCTGGCTAGAAATACAGCTTAGTTGCTAAGGTGGTCTGCATGCATTAAGGCCAGATTGAATAGATGGGGCTTAGTGGTGCATTCCTGTGATCCTGGCATTCAAGATTGTCCAGAATGGCTTCTGGGCTCATCGTCCTCCATGACAGGCTGGCTGTACAACTTATTTGCCAATTGATATATAACAAGTCCCTTAACCTTTGAGCCTCAGTTTTTCATGTGTAAAATGAAGATAAGGATGCTTATATTAAGAGGGCCATGTGAGTGTTAAATAAGATAGATAATGCCAGGATATTAGATAGCTTAGTGCATGACACCAAAGAAATTACATTTCGTGTATGTTTCCACCGGTACGAATAAGCCATGTCATTGTAAAGTGAATGATTCGCATAAAAATGTACCCATCCATGAGTAAGTAACATGAAACACCAAACATTAATTGAAAAGTTCTTTATACTGCTAGCCCTGGGTTCATTGTGAATTCCTACAGTACTGGTGTTGAGAGGGGGCTGTGTTCTGCCCTAAATTACTCCATGTTATGCAAAACAGAGGTTTGGTTTTTTTTTTCCATGCTACACCTTGCCCTGAGAGACTCCATTTTACAAGTAGCTATTGACTCCATTTTGAGTGCAGATACAGAAGCAGATGGATTTTGCATCTTGGTGGACCCATCAGCACCATCTGTCCAGTCCAGCATCACCACGAGGCACCTGCTGATGAATGACTTATTCCTAAACACACAACAGGTGCCACCCTCCAAATTTATCAATGAAACTGGAACTGCAGGTGCGTATGACCATAGTCATTTCATATCAGGACTGGGAAGGTAGCTCAGTGGATGTGGATGTGTGGATGTGAGGAACTGAGTTTGGATCTCTAGAACCCACATAAAGCCAGACACCAAAGCGTCTATGCCTTATCTCAGTGTTCCTAGGATAAGATGGGAGGCAAGATGGGAATCCCAGGAAGCTTACTGGCCTGCTAGCCTGGGATATACAGCAGCAAATGAGAGACTGTTTCAAACAGCTGGAGGTGAGGACCCATACTGGAAGGGAAGCTCTCTGACCTTGATGAATTTGCTATGGCAGGCACACACCTGTACTCACACACATGAATATGAATATTTACAGATACGTACACATCCTACATACATACATACATACGTACATACATACATACACACCAAAAACGGATGAAAATAGGTTCAAGAACTTACAGGTACAATAGGCTAAGGTGAGGATATAGCACCCTCACCTGGACCCATAAAGAGAAAATCTAATAAGTCTTTAGTCCCAGCTCCCAGGAGGCAGAGGCAGGTAGATCTCTGAGTTCAAGGCTAGCCTGGTCTACAAATAGAGATGGTGGACAGCCAGGGCTAAATAGAGAATCCCTTTCTCAAAAGAAAAAAATTAGCAGACAAACAAAGAGTGCTTCCAGTGCTTCATAGATGTCCCACCCACCTGTCACCTGACCACATGGTGTGTGACTCCCTTGGCTGGCCAAGTCCTGCACAGACTGCTAGGATTCCTGTCTGTTCATTCAGCTGCCTGGATCTGACCTTCCCTTCACCTCTTTGGCCTCCATGGTCTCACATTGCATTTCTGCAGCTTGACATGACCCCAGCAGCCCTGGCATAGCTAACAGGTTAGTTATCTGCTCCCCGACTCCTACCCCTGGCCCTCCATGGAGTTTCCTTTCACATTCCTCCCAGATGTTTGTTCTGGTCTCTTGGAGACTCCTAGTACCCTGATATAGCTACTTTAATCCTCTGTAGCCATTCTGTAACACACGCGCACGCACACGCACATGCACACGAGAGCACACACACACACACACAGTCATAATAAATACAAAAGGAAAAAAAGCTAGTTTAAAAATGTCAGCACATACCCTCCTACAAGATTACCTTTTGTTTAGGACACTCATCTGGCAGTTCACAGCCACCTGATCTTGTCCTATCCCAGTGCTGGACATTGAACAAAGGGTCTCATACATGCTAGGAAAGTGCTGTGCCACTGACCTGCATCCCTGGATTCCTCCAGCCCTACCTGTGTTGGTTTGAAAGAAAATGGCCCCCAAAGGGAGTAGCACTATTAGGAAGTGTAGCCTTGTTAGAGTGGGTGTGGTCTTGTTGGAGGAAGTGTGCCACTGTGGAGGTGGGCTTTGAGGTTTCATATATGCTCAAGCCATGCTCAGCGTGAGCCAGACCACTTCCTGTTGCCTGTGAGTCAAGATGTAAGAACTATCAGTTATCTCTCCAGCACCATGTCTGCCTGTGTGTTGCCTTGCTTCCTGCCATAACAACACTGAACTAAACCTCTGAACTTTAAGTGAGCCACCCCAATTAAAAGTTGCCATGGTCATGGTGTCTTCACAGCAATAGAAACCCTAACTAAGACAAGCCCATTCTTGCTGTGTCTCCATGTCAGTCATCCTGGGCCTTGGCACTTACTGCTCCCTCTGCCTAGCATACTATCCCAGGACATATGTTATTGGTTTCTCATTGAAGTCTGGATACAGATGTCACTTCCTTAGGCATTCCCTGACCATTAGCATAGTCATCTGGTTTGTTTCTCTTTTTTTTTGTTTCATTTCCTTAATCTTATTTTTTTTTAAATCCTAGGGCTGAGGAGATATTTCAGTGGATATATTGCTCATTATACCAGCATGAAGGTCAGAATTAAGATCCCCAGGTGAAGTAGCCACTTTGATGGGGCATCTGTCAGGTCCAGCCAACTTGTCCAGTCTGTACTTGAGAGGGGGAGTGTGGATTACGGAAAAGAAAGGCAAGAAACAGGAGATAGAATCCAGAGGGCATTCAGTGAAACCTGAACCACCCATGTTTATTGTTCAAAGTCTTTTTATACCCCCATCAAAAGAGGAGGAGAAGGCAAAAGACTTCCTTACTAATGATACAAGGAACAAACAATAATTACCTCTTCAATACACAAAATATCAAATAACTATATCCTGAGTTAAGTATTCTGTTTAGGAAGGACATGCAGTGACCACACCTTAGTCAAGCATCCTTGCCTTGGAAGAGCAAGGGCAGGCAAAAACTCTCTGACCTTAAGTCAAAATGGAATGGAGTCAATTTTGTGGGTTCTGACACCCAGGCTCCACATAAAAACTGTGCAGCAACAGTGGCTCACTTACCCTTCTAGGAGGTGGATACAAGGGATCCTCCTTGAGGCAAACTAACTAGCTAGAACAGGGGACTTGGCAGGCTCCAGGTTCAGTGAGAGACCCTGCCTCAGTAAATAAAATGGAGACTGATCAAGGGAGACACTGGGCATCGACTTCTGGCCTCCACACATGCACACATGTACACTCAGACGTGAGAATATGTATACAAGCATACACACACACACACACACACACACACACACACACACACACACACGTATATAGAGAGAGAGGTCCTCTTGTAGAGGACCTGGGCTTGGTTCCAGCACTCATCTGGCAGTTCACAGCCACCTGATCTAGATGAACTGATGCCCTCTTCTGGCTACTCAGGCATGCAGTGCACATATATGCATACAACTAAAACCATAATGAACATAAGACAAAAATGAGTATAAAAAAAAAAACTGAGGAGAATTGGGCTGGATTCTGGGGGTTCTGTGTCTTGGCTTAGAACTTATGGAAAGCAGGTGTTCCTGTGTGGTAAACTGACATCTCAGAGACCCGATCCAACCACTTGCCTGGGTGCTCAAGAGGAGACTCCTTCCAGCCAAGGCAACCAGACAGGAAGGAAGTGGGAGAACCTGGCAGGAAAGGGAGGGAAATCCCTCATCCTGCCCTTTCCCACATGGTGCCACATTCAGACAGCCCGAGGGAGGATTGCACACAGGAGAAAATCAAAGACATTTCACAATGAATGAAGCTTCCCGCTGTGTTCTATTCATTCTGCAGAGAATAGGAGTGCCTTTACCAACATTAATGAACCAAGATTAACTAGTTTAGGAGTCAGCCTTCAAAATGCCTTCTGTTCTTACCCTCTATCCTTGCAACAGTCTCCTTCCAGCCCACAAGCCCAGGCCTTCTCCCCCATGCCCAGAGCTAACCATTCTGCCTCAGGAATGACTGAATCTGGTGTTTGTTGACTGCAGCCAAGCTTATGGCATTTCCGGAAATGATCTTCCCATTGCAGATGCAACCAAATTAGCATCAGCCCCTAGAGTAACAATTGACACAGTCTTCAACAGCAACTGCATGTTCCCTCAAAGTACAGGATTTAAAATGAAGTTTTGATAGTATTTAAGAATTTCAGTTCCAATGTGTCTGGTTTGGGGATGAGATTTTTGTTGTTGTTTGCTTGCTTGTTGGTTGGTTGGTTTTTGAGACAAGATCTCACAAGGTAGCTCCAGCTGGTCTCAAATTCCTTCCGCAGTACCTGGTTTCAGATCGTCTGTTGAGGTGAGGTATTTCTCGGGTAGCTCAGGCTGGCTTTAAGTTCCCTATTTAGTTGAGGATGACCTTGAACTCCTAATCTCCCTGCCTTCATTTCTCAGGTGCTGGGATTTCAGAGTTTAGTGGGAGATAGAGATCATTCAATTCTGATGTGTGTGATCTCATTGCCTTTCTAGAAGAAACCACAGGGATTTGCCTCAGTTCACTGAGACATTTTGACGGGTTAGCAAAAAATAACCCAGTGGAAAGGTGCATGTGCAGCTCGAAGGTTTGCAAGATGGTTTCTGTTTTGTTTTGAGAAGGGGAGGGGGTTGTCTCACAATGTTTCTCAGGCTGTTGAGCCTAAAGAGGCTCCAGTGTAACCTTCTGAGCCTGGCTAGAGTTTGGCCACCTGTCTCTGGCCTGTAACCGCCACATGGGGGCGACTCAGCAAGGCCTGATCTAAGACTGTCCCCCTACCTGCCAGCTTGGTGGAATATTATTGGCCCTTACTCATGTCACCTTACCCCATCCTAAGATTCCCATCCCTACCTCAACCCTATATAAGTTCCTGCCTGTTGGAATAAAGTGAGATCCTGCTTCGACAAGTCTCCCGGACTCAGTGTGTGTTTCTCCCAGGTAACTGAGCCATGGGGTGGTGGTGGGGAGTTGGGGTTGGCTGAGTCATTGACACCACCATCCTGCTCAACCCCAGGAAGAGACCAGCTCGATCAGCCCTTCCCCAGCCCTACCTACCTGACAACTCAGCATCAGGCTACCCTCAAAAGTCTGGATTCATTGATTCAAAGTCAGCCTGCCCAATACAATGTGTGTGCCAGCACCTGGGACTAACCAGGAGCAGGTCACTGCTCTTGTCAGGTTTGCTCGTTTGTTGTTACTGTTATATTTGTGTAGAGGATAGGGCATCTGTGTAGAGCTCAGAGGATAGTTTGTGGCAGCAATTCTCTCCCAGTATGTGGATGCTAGGTGTTATGATAAAGCATGTGGGGGACCTTAGCAGATTTTGTAGTGGGTGAGGCACAAACAAACATGCCAGGCAGATAGAGCTTAAGTGAGAAGTTTTATTAGAAAGGGGAAGGGTGGGGAGGAAGGAAAGAGAAAAAAGAGGTAAAGACACACACACACACACACACACACACACACACACAAGGAGAGAAGAGGGAGACAGGACCTTTTCTTTGCACCTGCACACAGACTATGCAACCATGGAACCCTGTGCTGACCAGGGCACTGTCTGAGTGCATTCTGCCAGGTGCTAGGGGCAGGCCAGCATAATGCCTGGATCCATACAGTGGGGGTAGAAATAAGGTCACCAGGCTTCCAGTGGGCACCTTTATCCCCTACACCACCCCCGACCCCTAACTTGCTCGCTCTCTCTCTCTCTGTCTCTCTCTGTCTCTCTCTCTCTCTCTCTCTCTCTCTCTCTCTCTCTCTCTCTCTCTCTCTCTCTCTCTCATTTATTGAGATGGGTTCTCAACTATGCAGCCCTGGCTAACCTGGAGCTCCCTATGTAGACCAGACTACCTTCAAACTCACAAAAATCCTATGCTGGGATTAAAGATGTGAACCATGAAAGAACCAACCAAACAAAGGGCTGCACGGTGGTAGCGCACGCCTTTAATCCCAACACTCGGTAAGCAGAGGCAGGCGGATCTGTTGAGTTCAAGTCTACCACCAAGTGAGTTTCAGGACAGCCAGGGCTACACAGAGAAACCCTGTCTCAAGAAAAAGACAAACAAAAAAAAAAAAAAGACAAGCAAAACGATGTGAACCACTGTGCCCACCTAACTTGCAGGTTAGGTTTTAAAGGTGGCTTTGGGAAGATGTATTTGGGTTAGGATAAGCCTGAATCAGGCCTAGGTCAGCGAGCAGAGCCTGTGTGCAAGCAGGAGATGAGATATGGACCTTCTGTAGCTTCCCCAGCTCTGCAGGGTTCTCCCATGCAGCCTCCTGGGTGACTTAAGAGCCTGTCTGGAAAAGGCATCTTTTCTGGCCCAAGGAGCCGTGCCCTCTTCTGCTTAATGTTTGCTAGGACTTTATGTCTTCCAAGTAGGATTTTTCCTTCCCAGGGCGAAGTAATCACAAACAGGGAATCTCTGTAGCCGAGAAGCTCTTTGTACCCTTTCACGGGCTTCTCTTGTGATGGATGGAACTGCAGGAACAATCAGAGG